TCAATGCCAACCTTCATTGGTGATGGTCTAGTGATCATTTTGCCTTGATAAGAAGTATCACAAGAAAATTTATTATTTGTAAGAATCTTCAGGTTCTTTAATGGATGCCCACTCGAATTTTCAGTAATTCGTCTCATCATTATTGATCTAGGATGGCCCAAACGGCCATGGCAAAGCACAAAAATATTTGAATCAGTAAACTTCTTGTTTACGATAGAGTGTGCTTCAACTGTACTAATCTTTGAATAGTATAATCCAGAAGATAAAGTTGATAACTTTTCTACAATGCACTTCTGGCCAGAAACATTCTTTGTAATACAAAGATATTCCATATTCATTTCATCTATCGTCTCAACATGATACCCATTTCGGCGGATATCTATAAAACTCAACAAGTTTCTTTGGGACTTGGAGGAGAATAATGCATTGTCTATTATAAGTTTTGTTCCCTTAGACAGAAATATAGTGGCTCTTTCGAAGCCTTCAATCAAACTTATATTACTAGAAATTGTTGAAATATTTGTTTTTTCCTGATGCAAATAAGAAAAGTATTTCTGATTTTTGAATATGGCATGAGTTGTTCCACTATCAATTACACAAATATCTTCATGATTGGTCTTTGATCCAAACATAATTTGAGGATTATCCATATACTCTGGTACTTTCAAAGTATTTACTCGAGATGGCAGAGTCTCGTGCTGATAAAGTGTTATAAAATAAAGACTGTAAAGTAAAGACAAGTATAGAGAGAAACTGATATATTATTCAAACTTCAAACTTATGTACATAATGAATTGAAAACTCCTCTATTTATAGAAAAAAGAAAGTTGTTGTGTAAGCTACTACTGCAAGCTACTGTGTAAGCTGCTTATAAGTTGCTTGTAAGCTGCTACTGTACCAGATATAGATAATCTTCTACCGGGGGTAATGTTTATCCATAATGGAGTATTAAAATGATAAGCTTTTTCAGGAGGCTTATTTCCAATAGGGTACTAAATAGATAAACTTATTTACGGCGGAGTCTCGTATGGATAAGCTTCTTCAGGAAGCTTATTTACAACGGAGTATTAATGAACATCCATAATATAATATATTTATAACAATTTTCACATTATCTCTGTGCCCCTCCCCCCTCCAAATCCAATTAGTTTAACTTTAACATTAAAGGCAAAAATATACTATGCATTAATTTATGTATTATATTATTACTATAATAGGGATGAATTGGAGGAACTTCCCGTCAATGTGAATTGTCCAAAAAAAACTAAATATTTCAATTTATTTCCCTTTTTGATTATTTAGCAATGAAGAGCTTTTTTGGTATTTTATGTATTTTATATTTTAAAGAAGTTGTACTTGATTACCTAAAAAGTATACATTTGTTTTACGACAAAGGTCCAAATATACCCCTGTACTTTCGAAAATAATCTAAGAATACCCCTCGTTATACTATTGGGTTATCTATACCCTTACAGTCATACTTTGGGTTCAAATATACCCCTCATTTAAATAGAAGGACTCGTGTCATCGTCCTGTTGGTCAATTCTAAATATCTCCTAATTAATTAAAAAGACCCATTACCCATACCCGGAAAGTAATTTTCTAAAGCAATTTTTTTTTGTAAAAACTGGAAAAACTGAAATTGTTTTTTACTAAAAACTGAAAAAAAAAACAAAAATTATTTTTTTCCAATTATTACAAAAAAACTGCTTTAAAAAAAACTGAAAAATATTTTCTAAAATAATATTTTTGTAGAAACTGAAAAACAAAACTGAAAAGTAATTTTCTAAAGCAATATTTTTGTAAAACCTGGAAAAAACTGAATGTTCTTTTTTTACTAATAACTGAAAAAATCGAAAATATATTTTTCCAGTTTTTAGAAAAATATTGCATTAAAAAAAAACTGAAAAATAATTTCTAAAGCAATCTTTTTTGTGAAAACTAAAAAACAAAAACTGAAAAGCAATTTTCTAAAGCAATGTTTTTGTACAAACTGAAAAAATAAATATTTTCTTTTTTTCAGTTTTTAGTTAAAATTTTTTAGTTTTTTCCAGTTTTTAATTGCTTTAGAAAATTATTTTTTAGTTTTTTTCCAATTTTTACACAAACATTGTTTTAGAAAATATTTTTTAATTTGTTTTAAAGCAGCTTTTTGTAAAAACTGGGAAAAAAAATTCAGTTTTTTCCAGTTTTTACAAAAAAATTATTTTAGAAAATTACTTTTCGGGTATGGGTAATGGGTCTTTTTAATTAATTAGAAGATATTTAGAATTGGCCAATAGGATAATGACACGTGTCCCTCCATTTAAATGAGGGATATATTTAAACCTAAAATAAACTGCAGGGGTATAGATAACTCAATAGTATAACGAGAGTTTTTAGACCATTTTCGAAAGTAGAGGCGTATATTTGGACCTTTGACCTTTTTTTTATTAGACAAAAATAACCACGCCCAGAGGCACGTGTGAACAATTTGTAAAACAGTGGGCCCTCTTTAAGTTTCCATTATTATTGCCAAAAGTGAGCTTTGTTCCTATGATGATCTCTGGTTTAATAACTTGATTTTGTGTTGGATTTAGTGTGCATTTCGACTTCACTTGTTTTTTTTTGTTTTTTGAATACCAACTTCGCAGAAGTTATAATAAAGAACTGTGGGGAAAAAAATCAATAAAATTAAGGAAAAAAAATTTGCTTGAAAGGAAAAGAAAACTTTAGGAGAAAATCACTTTACAATATTTTTCAGTATAGTCAATTAGGAGTACGCCCGCAAAAATTATTTTACGATAATAGGGTGATTTTCTTAATGTAATTTTGTTTTAGTTTTCTTACTGTAATGTTTGTTTCTTTTAAGTTAGGTTAGTATTTAATCAAGTCTTTTTATTATTACCATTTATGATATTTTTGAGCGCAACTTTATGAGGACTATTTAAGTTTCTTCTTTAAGGTGCTATTAATAATGAATTTGATATCAGAAATATTGTAGCTTAAAACCTTTATATTTTTCTTGATACAGAAATGTTATATTTGTGAAAAAATGGTTTAATCAAAGTGTAAATAGTTCTGAAAAAAACTTGATTGTATTAAGCATTAATATACTATAACTCTATTTGATTTCAAGAAAATTGTTGCAGAATATAATAACCTTTTTTTTTTTTTTGTAAAAAAGAGCTTTATTATGCAAATAGTGGCATTTGGATTAGAAAAGTTTTTTAGAGATGCTTTAATCCTCATCAACTGCAACTTTATAATTGCTCCAAATAACTTTAGAGGAGAAAAAAAAAACTTGACAGCTTTAGCTATGCCAATTGGGCACGGGCACACCCTCACTAGTATACCATATACAAGAAGGGAAAAGAGGAGTTTGTCCATTTTCTCCTATTTCTTGTCTCTTTGCCAGGGAAAGAATTTTTAGTCCGTAACAATTGTGCATTCTGCATTGCAACAAAAACAGTGGTTTAACTTATTTGCATCAGTTAATTTACAGAAACAGCAATCCTTCCTACTCCAACTATATGCACATGCTAACCCAGCCAGCTAAAATAAATCAACATCAAACACAAAACTACATGATATAAAAAGAGAACTAACTAATGTAAACAAATGGAGTCCTAACAACCTAAAGGAACTCATCTTGATACATATTTCCAAGAGGAATAACTAGACTAGATTCACTATTTTATTATGCTATCTAAGTAATCCAGGGGATCTCAACTTCAGTAAACTCTGAGAAACATCTATCGATAGCCCAAGCCCTTTAGAAACCAGGATCTCATGATTTGTTTGGCAAGAGTGGCCGAGACGGAAGGATTAAGCTGGCAAGCTCGTCATTTAGCTTTACAGGGAGGGGTGGCATCTGCTTCATTATTTCCGGCATGTCATTCAAACTGCAAGAAATAGTTTATCTTAGCATGCATTGAAATAGCAAAACAAGTAGAATTACAGTAAAGGCTAAAACAGGAAAGCATCATCAAGTATTATTTTCCACAATTTTTAAGTTGACACACATTAAAGCAAACATTTCGGTTGAAGGAGATAAAAATTGTTCATTCAAGATTTCATGTTTAGCATATAGCACAAGCATATACTTTATTAACAGATCTGTAAAAAGATTTCAATGATTAGGGATCTTTCAGGTTAAGTATGAGAGTGGCAAGTTTCTTCCTAATCTCGAAAATCATTTCACATATGTTTTCAATTACAATGCGCAAGTCATGGTTCATAATTTCACAATTTTAGAGAATTTCCATTTTAAACCAAGCTGCAACAAGACATATTAGCCAATATGGACAATCAAGAGCAGTTGAAGACATTCACGATATGCTTATAAAAGTTGAAATTCAAGCCATAGATAATGCAAACAGATTACATAAGTTTGAGCAAAACTAGATGACAATGCATGCAAAAGTACCACTTAATAAAAGCATGTATCACTCACTGCAAATAAGATTCATTTATGCTAAAGAGATAGCATAAGCTTCACGACATATATTCACTGCATAAAAGCATACACACATACATATCCAGTGAGAGGGGGAAGGATGAACCACAACATACTCATTTAAGATGGTGAGGATATTGTTTCGAGCTTGAGTGAAAAGGTTAATGTTTTCTTGGATCTGCACCGAAACAAAAATAAGAAAGATGTCAATACTACCAATAACCAAATGATGCATGAGTAACAATCTATCCACATTACTGTTCAATATCTTTGTTACACTTGATCTAAACCAAATGGTCAGGAAGGGTAAAGTAATGTTCATAGAAAAAACAGAATAGAGGTAAATATTCTCAGTTTTTATGGAAATACTATTCCTTCCATCCCATTTTATATGAAACTTTCTGGTACATCTAGAAATGTTAGACATGACTTAATGCAATTCTCACTTCATTCAGAATTCAAGTTCATTTAAACAATTGAACTCGTAATGATTGATGTTTCCACCATCTTAATAAATTACCAATTATTTTTTTAACATATTTCTTGTTCAGTCAAATTTCCTCTAAACTCCACATCCATTTCAGTTATATCACATATAATAGGTCAAGGGAGTAAAGAAAAAACAGAAAATGACTCGTATGGTTTGTTCACGTATTTGATCCGACATCATTTTTGTCATCTCTCACAAATAAACGGAGATGAGGCAGTGGAAATGAAATTGTCAAGAACCGTCATCTGACCTTAAAAACAGCAAAATTTGCAGATATTTGATCCAAGGCCTGAGCATTTTGCTCAAGAAGATGGCCGGTGGTACCACCAATGTCTGCAAAAGTTACAAGATTCACACACTCCTCAGAAATTCCCACAAAAAGATATAAGAGAAGGAAAGAAAACTCAGAAGATATACAAAGTCTTTACAGTTTCATATCAAAACAGTAATACTGACTGCTCCTTTTCGCCATTTTTCCATTTTGAATCTATTGATTGTTACGATTATAAGTGCAAAGGGAAAAAGAGCGGTCCTTGATTAATCCATGGAGGACAGTAGATATCTCCATGCTACATGACATCTTTTACATACTACATGACATCTTCTATGCTACATTCCTCTTGACTAGTATATTAATTTCCATAGGAAAAAGTGAAATCATTTTCTTGTTATTCTCCATACTAAATGATATCCTCTGTGCATTCACCGAGGGACTAGCTCTTCCAAAGTGATAAAGAGCATTCCTGATCATATTATTTCCAATATTACAAACTTCAGCTAATCATGAATTATGAAAACAATTGGATCACCTTCGCACAACAGAAGTTAAAATGGATTCCGTTAAGAACTGGAGTTCAAAGTTCTTGATTAGCGTCATTTTTCAGAACTAATAAATTGGCCGGACCATTAGACATGTCAATAGAAAATTAGGAACTTCGCACTTTCATTGGAAAACAGATGAAAATTTGATAATCGAGCTATTGATTTTCACATCTCCACCAGTCTAGCTTTTCAATTTTAAGCAAATCTAAGAAGAGGTATAATCTCGGGATGAAACTTATATACAAAAATACCTTCTGGAAGAAAGAAAAAGATGGCTTCTAAAGTCTAACAACATCAAGCAACACGCACAACTAATGCCAGACACTATAATCTCGGATTATGCATGTAGCAGACAAAAGGTGATGTGCTAATCATCCACTCTATCCATTTCATCTTTCCAATTACGTAAACTTTCCTCTACATTCAATTCCAGGCATGTCTATCTAGACTCTCACACAGAAAAGCAAGACTCTCAAGAACATGGGATTTCACTCAATTTTAAGTGTAAAGCCAGAAGTGTGAATAAGAACCAACCTTTGTAGGAAATTCCATCATCACTGTCCATTGACATAACAGATTGAGCATAGGGAGGACCATTTGCACGATTAGCAACATGGGTAGATTTTTGCATAGAATCTGTTACTTTTTCCTAAAATCAAAAACAAGGGAAGCATGACAAAGAAGTTATTATTGACAAAACTGCACAGGACTGCCTTATTAAAATAATACCAAATAAGAACAATATTTTCCAAGAAGGCGTAGCTCAGTTGCAAGTAAATATTTCTCAGGTGTTTGGAAAAAACTAGTCGATCCACAAGCAATTTGAGCAATGAATCTCAAATTATTCCACCAAGCTGTCAAAGAGAATCTGGAGTTGATGAGAAATCATGGATGCACAACAGTCCAGAGATGCTCATAAGCTCTACGCACTCAAAGAGGATTTAGAATCTGGAATTGAAAAGAAACCGTAGGTCCATAGCAGTCTAAGAAGGCGGATATACCCTTTGCATTTAATGAGGACTTAGCTAAAGGTGCGAGTCATTTCTTCCTCAGAAATTAAGTAAGCAACACTTTAAAAACCCCAGCTTTTGGGCTGTCCTACCTAATGAAAGCTTAGATAAGGGAAATAGCCCTGACAAGCACTGAAGCACCAGCAGATTCGTATATCAAGAAACATGAAATTGGCAACAGCCCTTCCATTTTTCTCAATCATCAACACTTACAAACTGCAAACCAAATTGAAGAGGAAAGGTCATGATATGACTTCAAGAAGAAACTTGTACCGCTATGTAATTTCTTTATGACCAAACATCACATGTCAAAAATGAGCATTGATGGAATATCTACATGTAGATAGTATGGACTAGGGTAATCACACTAATATTTGGAAGTGAAGGCGACTTAAAGCTAGAGGAGCAAATGGAGTAAGAACCCACTAAAACTACAATGCCTTTGCAAGTCAATTGGACATCGACCAGCGATTCCTATTACATTGATGTAATAATGGTTTGAAAGACTCTGAGCATCCACCCCAAACCTTAAGGTCGTGCGTTTTCATACTAAAGGGTTCTCATGTTACTGATAGTTTCTCTCTACGTACCCACCAAATCTACATATAACAAATGCAAGTATATAGTATATAATAGGATTTTCGTGAGAGCAAAAATGTATTTTTTGTCCAGTTGGACATGTGTGCATGCAGAGTATGAATCTCTGTGTGTGTGTGTGTGTGTGTGTGTGTGAGAGAGAGAGAGAGAGAGAGAGTGTATGTGTGTCTATGTGTGTTCTTGTGGGTTTGTACAGTTTTTTGCGCCCCAAGTACCTAGACACATCGAGTTCTTATCTAATGAGATCGATCCAACATCAAAACGAGAAATTTGACCTTAAAAGCTGAAGGATGAAAGGCAAAAAAAGAATCCTTTTAAGGGGGCGGAGAGCCATCAGTAAGATACCGTGGCCTCCTTCCAAAAGGGAGTGGGGAGGATATCAGTGAGATACCAGTATAGAAGAAATAAGGACTGCAGTTGTCACTTTTCACATAATGTGACTCACATCCGTTCCTGTTTTCAAAGGATAGCACAAGCTGGGAGGTGGAGTCCATTATTTCCTCTTTCTTTTTCAAGCTCATTGCACAACTTGAGGAGCTGAATCCTGCTTAGTCAAAAAGGCATAGCAGTGGCTCATATTCTGAAGTCTCAGTATTATGCTCTCAGCAGCACAGACGAGACACCTTTTCATTTGAAAATAATTGGAAAAGTAAAGGACCAAGGAAAGCGTCCCATTTTTGCTTTCGAAGTCCCCTTACAGGTGACAACTTCGGAGAGAGGAAAAGAACTAGTGCTAATTGTATGTTCTGCAAGAAAGCTGCAGAAACAGTGGACCATCACTCCTCCATTATGACTGGTTTATTGAGATATAGAACCTTCTTTTTGTGTTTGTGTGTGGGAATAAGAAAGTTGCCCAAGTCTGGAGGAATTGAGTGACATCTCAGCAGTATTATTTGCTGGCCAAAGAGGTAGATTTCAAGAGCTATTCTTCTGTATTTGGATGGAAAGAGAAAGAAGAACATCACAAATAAAGGGGACGGATGTTAAGAGGCTCAAGTCCAGTGCTATTTACACGTTTCATTTTTGGTACGGGGAGAACCATCCAGCTGGTCATGATATTTGCAGAGATTTCTTTTTGAATCTGACACTGATCCTTTTTTTTTTTTGGATTGTTTCAATCCGACACTGATCTTGAAACATACTTGGCAAACCTAAAACCCATTGCAGAACTAAATGATCCTTCACTCACTAAGCAGCACTTAAGAAGAAAACAATTAGAAGATTCCCCTTTTGACTTTGCATGTTTTCTTGGGTGGGGTCGACTTGAAACAAAAAGTGGGAAGGGACCTAATATCTTTTAGTACTGTTTTCTACAATGCCAAATGGAGCTCCACAATATGATCAAAAAGTAAACATATATTAAGGATATCAATGTCTAATGATGTGAATTTCTCTTTCTTTTTCTCTCCAATACTGATATAGACACAAAATGTTATGATTTTCTCCTTTTTTTCGTTCCACTCCTCTCTTTTTATCTGCACATTCTCCTTCCCTTCCTTCTTTTATCCTTTAACCAAAAACGTACTGTAAGTCCAGCGAAACCTTCTTCTTTTTTCCTGTGCAAAGCAAGCACCATCATACTTTTTCTACTGTGCACAGAGTCAAGGGGGAACTCTTAAATCAAGCTCATCCAACAGTCTATAATTGTGCATTTCCACATTTCAAATAATAAGATCATTCCTTTCACCCTCTACTTATTCATCCACAAAGCCTACCACATACAAGCTAGTAGTACAACTGGCTGCTGCAATCAATTTTCTACTTCTGTCCTCAACTACTAAGGATTTCCGCACCATTTAGGAAATAAAGCTAATTGCTACCTTAGTTCCCACAAAGCCACATTGTAAAGACATGTTTGAAACAAAGAAACAGAGAGACTAGGGCCTCTTCAATTCTCTGTCCCAATTACAATGGCCTACTTTGATAGAGCATAGGTATTTTTATTTTTCTTCTTTTTTGGAATAAAGGGGTGTTCAGGCAGCTTGTGCACACCTTGATTATTCCATCAATAATATGCTACCTCCTATCAACATAGGTACCGAGTAACTCTGCTCACCAAAGTATAAGCAGATGAGAAAATATCACCTAGTGTTTTGTGTCTCTGCTGGGAAGTGAACCATGGCCTCCAAGATTTAAACCCACTTCTGTAGCATCCCGAAAAAATTTCGAAATACTGAAGCGCTATTAAGAAAGTTGATGTGTGTTAATTATATAATTTTGTATGCAGACAAGGACTATTAATATGATGGTTATTAATTGAATATGATAATAAGTGTACGAGGTGTATTCGAAGTGATATAAGGCATAAGGAGAGCCCTTGGGACAAATCAAGTTGGAAATTACATGATAGACTGAAGTTCCAAATGAGTACGCACAAGACCTAACTTTGGACGAGCATATCTACATATATATAAGGAGTTATGTGATGTACAACCTATCAAATGAAAGATCTTCGAGTCTAGTTTCTAACACTTCAAACCGTTTGTCATTTGGGCATTCCTATAAGAAGTTATGACCAAATTACCAAAGGCTGGCAGAGGAGTTAACTAGGGATGCGAAGCATCCGGGGCCGCGTCCAAAAGAAAGGCTGGCAATGAAGTACTGCCATAGCATCCGGGTCGGTGTCCGAGCTTCGAAGAGGAGTGAACTGGGGATGCGAAGCATCCGGGGCCGCGTCCGAAACCCAGAAATCTGGGCCTATAAATACAAAATCGGGGGAAGAGAGTATTTTGTATATTGGGGGTTAGGGTTCTTGAGGTGAAGAGGCGATTTTGAGCTCAAATCAAGTCCAATCAACTAAGGTAAGTTGTTAATGATGTTTTGGGTTGATTCTTACTCAATATACATGAGTTCTAACATCATTCTTACATCCAAATACTAAATTTCATCATCAAATCCTCAAGAACACAAAAATCACCAAAGTTGTGATTTTTCAAGATTGATCTACTAGAGGTAATTCCAATGCTTCAAACTCGTTTATTATGAGTAGTTCGAAGTATTTGAAGCATTTGTTACAAGTTTTAATGGTTGAAAGATTAGATTATAAAACTCTAGTTCATGGCATGAATAATACTTTTGAGAAAATAATAGAGAAGATGAATGGTAATTTAGGCGATGAAATTAATGAATATAATAAACCTATGGAATTATTTGTTAGCAAAAGATGGAAGTGATCAACCAAGTAATCAACCGAATTGTATATTTTGCAAGTGTGGATTATGGAAGATGATAAATAGTAACTTGGTGGCATTGGACAATTGATGTAGTATCATTAATGACTTTGAATGGGTATTAAAATATAAGAACAAAGTTGAATGGTTTAGCAATCTATTTGGCGATTTGAGTTGTTGGAGGCTTGTAGCCAGCTTATGAGCCATATATGGATATTGATCAATATCTTAGGTCATATTTTGATGTAATTAGGATATCTAATTGTAGATATCGACTTGTTGGTGATGTTTGAGCATTTTAATCAACATTGGAATGATGGAAGAGGATTGAAAGCTTGTGAATGTTAATAAAGCGAAAGCGAGGTAAGTTGATTAAAACTTACTCTACTTGAGGGACTTTCTCTAAAAGCATGTTTTGAGTTAATACTTAAGTTGTTTGCAAATGTGCTTTCGTGCTTGTGGGGACAAATAAGTACGGATGTCTCCATGTACTAAAATATTATGTTGCATATGTAGTGTCATGATGTTTTATAAAATTTTATTTTAAATCTTGTTGGCAAAATGACACTCAAGGTAAATGTTATAAGTTTTTTAATAAAATTTACGTATTGAAAAGAGTATACATAATTACCTGTAAATATGGTTCCCAGTACAACATATGTACTGACTTTATTAATATATAATAACGTTATCAATTCAAAAAAAAAAGAGTATACATAATTGAGTGCTAAAGATAAGTTTTCATGGAAATTATTTCTTTTAAAATTTGATGAACAGAATAGCACTTGTGGTATCTTTTAAAGATTGATGTTAAATTGCTAAAGGCTTTAGCATGTAAAAGATTGTTTATTTAATTTTGTTCAAATGATTTAGATTTTCTATATATGCTATGATTTGATAAAAATAGATCCTTTGAAGCTACTATGCTATGAATCTATTTTTGAAGTATCAAATGTTTTGAGAGTTACTTGTGTTCACCGAGATTAACTTCTGATATATTGTGTTCGTTGTCATGAAACTACACGTGTCAGTGTAGGCGTAGATGGCCACTTTGTGGTATAGACTACGGCAGAGTGCTCTCCCTCGAGAGAGTACTATTTTATGTTATTATTAGCATGGCTGAGTCGATTAGTACGGCACTACAATGAGACGACCTGAGCAAGCAGAGTATATGATACTTGCCGCTAGGTACATAACCTAGTTGACCTTCTTATGTCGGTGATAGTATAGTACTCCCAGTGAAAGGTAAGGATTATTTTCTTATGTTTAGGCTTAAGGAGCCGAAAGTGATTTCGATGACTTAAAGCAAATGGAATAATTTTGTATTATTTTATCCAAAATCTTGAGTTGATATAAATGTTTTAAAAGTATATATTGTGGGTTACGTTTTACTTGTCTTTCATTTAAAATGACAAGGATCATGAATTCATAAAATTTCTTATCGTTTTATATCAAATATTGATGCATTATTTTTATAAAGTTTGTCCCAAGAACTTAAGTAAGAGAGAGTCTATGACACTTATTGAGTACGGCCGTGGTGTACTCAGCCCTTAGGGGCTTCCTCCAGGGTCCCGCTTACTTTACATGTTCCAGGATGATGTATGATACGTGGCATGCGGTCAGGGCTAGGATGACTCTCTTTCCGAGGTATTATGAAGCACAACTTTTATTTCGTGGTAGCTATCATGTTCTTTCTTATTTATTTTGTTGGAATTGCTCCAAGTGTTGGTTCTATTCTTTGATATAGAGGCTCCATAGATAGTTACAATCCTATTTTGTTGGAATTACTCCAAGTGTTGGTTTTATTCTTTGGTATAGAGGCTCCATAGATAGTTGTGGGATTGTAAAAAATAGGATTGTGGACGTCATGCATAAAGGAATAATCATTTAATTGATTATATCATTTTTATGAAAGGTTTCATGTATGATTTTGGAAATGAAAAAAATTGTTGTGACTTGATTTGAAAATGTACAAGATTTTCAATTGGCTTCCGCAAATTATACTTGGTCTTGACATATGGGTTGGTTCACTCGGGTCGGGTAGTGTGCCGGGTGCCGGTCACGTGAATTTGGGTCGTGACAACTTCAATGACCACTAAGTCAAACCCTTGGTTGTTAGAGCATAGGTAATAAGGTAACAGTTTTATTGTGTTTAAATAGAAGTGGGTCACATGTGGAGATAAAGATGACTTTTGAACTTACTTTAAGATTAAACGGTGAACCAATAAACCTTTCTTGACAGAATATTGAAAGGTACTGAAGAGCCTTGCGACGAACTTCCCCCATGAAAAAGCTGACATGACTGAGACAATACAAATAGAATATAGGAATTCATTGGACGTAGGGCAAATATATTAGTCCACAAAGAGAGAATCGCAGTAAGGAATGACCAGGACAGCTAAGTTGAAGGGAATTGCAGATTGCATACCAGAAGAGCGGCACAAATATCAGGAAGCGATACTGAGATAGCTTTTAAAAATGTAATTCAGCTTAACCAAAAATGCCAGTAATCCATTTGCTTGTGGACATCTAAGTTTCATACTATACAAATAAAGATCCCAGTTTTTGCCCATTCAAGGGAGGCGATGAATTTAATATTCTGTCATCAACATTATACTTAAATAGTTTTTTATGAAGCATAATACTTCAACAGTTAAATGAAAAAATGATATCAATGACCTCTTCACAGTGATAATGGGCATGGCAACATGTGGGTCTATACTGTAACGTACAACAGTCAGTCTACAGTCGACAAAGACACACTTAATACTTGCAGGTAAATGACAAAAATGAAACCAATGACCTCTCCACGTTGATATGGACATGGCTGCATATGGGTCTATATTGTAGCACACAAAAGTCGGTAGAAAGTTCAACAGAGACACAATGACAGAAAACACCCTCATATTTTAGTAGGCTTAGGAAAAAAAACTGACAACTATGCAACCCAGAAAACTGCAATACCTTTTTGTCTTTATTTTTCCTTGAGTTATGATCATCTTTTCTGCGCTTTCCAATCTCCTTTTTCTGCCACAAGGAAAAAGTAAAAGAAGAATGAACAGCTAAATGTTATTAAAGCAAACCAAAATAGCTGGATTTAGTTGCAAAAGAAGGGAATGTAATGCCTTCCAGCTTCAGAAGAAAGGCTGTTCTAACAAAACCACTAGCTGCACTTGTCCGCACACAGTATTATAATATTATTCTTTATGGAGAAGTTAAAATAGCAATACCATTTTTACAAACATTGAGGAACCCTGTTCAGGCCTCAGGGAAGGCAGGACCCTTTAAAACCAAAAGGGGGAAACCTTTCACTTTCTCATTTAAATCCTTTCTAAAATTTTGTGATTTCACCAAAAGGGAACTTCTTCAACTACAGTTTTATCAAAGATGAAAAGCATAGAAATTGTTAAAGTCTTGGGCTTTAAGGGTAAATGAAATTGAAGGACGGACTTAGCGAATAATGGAGCAAACAAGGGGGGGTTAACACACACAATAAATATGTGGATAGAGAATCCAAAAACAAAATACAAATATGTGGAATACAAGAAGCAAAAAACATATAAATCACATTCACGAATCATTCAGAATTTCTGATCCATAGCAAAAGTTCAGTTTTACGTTTTAAATTGAGGTTTATAGACATTTTCTTTTATAACTTCCTTTTTTATAATCGTAATAAAATCATCATAATGTACAATTTATATATCACTTTGCTAGCTTCATTTATTATTAGAGTCATCCTCCTCAAGATAGAGCCCAGAGGATACGAGGCACACACCTTCGCGGTTTGGCCTGTACTACAACACTGCGAAAGCGTGGCGAATCTACTAATATGTGGTATAGCTTTAATAACACTGCAGCTATGAACTTTAAATTTGAGTCAAGAATGATGTGTGCCCCCTCCCTCCCCCCCACACGCACATATTATTCAACCATGGTCGTGGACTCAACTAACGAAACTTGATATTTAAGGAAAGATTTTCGCGGCTCTTGAAAATTCTTTAATTTTACCCGCATTTCATCTATCTTCTGCAGGTTGTTTATGGACAATCAGAAAATAAACTAACTGCCACAATGTACAGACCCTGTTAGTAGAAATATAAATCCCTCCCAACCGACTACTTTCTGTAAGTATCATGTCCAAGAGAGAAGGCTTGAAAGGCACCCAATCCAACCAATCCGAAAATTTATATTATTCAGCTGTTTAAAAGTACGAGTATACGAAGCTCAAGATAGCCTCTCCACTTTTATTTTTTATTTTTTGTTTCTATTTTTGACNTACTCCGCTAACTATGTGGATAAATTGGTTAAAAAAGAATAAGAGAACTTACAGTCATCCATCTACATCTCAGTGCTACATCTCGAACAGTCTTGTCTTTTAACTGCATTGCAATTTTAGCATACCTAGATATGTTGCTTTCTGTTGCATATCTGCAAAAGTAAAATTCCTATTCATCATTTAACAGTTCATTTCAATAGGAAGCAAATCAGAAGTTAACCATGACACAGATATTAAGAATGCACAATTGGCGTAAGTGATGCTGCTTGACAATGCATGCAGCAAATTGAAACAAATACTGATCAACCAACAGAAAGAATTGTCGTACTGGGCTAAAATGCATGGTTCAGTTAACCATATCTAGGACATAGAGTGTAGTTTGTATTGAACTCTAATAACAAGAAAAACAAAGTACCAGATGATATTTGCTCATCTACATAGAGTGTAGTTTGTATTGAACTCTAATCACGCAACACACATTGTAATGGAGCAACTAAATTATATTGAATTGCAGAATCAAACACACGGAGCAGTAAGGAAGTTGCAATTAGAACAGTAACAAGGAAAGAAGAGGGGAAGAGAGGGACAGATAGAGAGAAAGGGGAAGAAGCACAGAGACTACTCAATATAATTGCCTAACATGCTCCTAACCAGGGTCCCATACATCATTTGCTAACTTTCAATGGGTCCTTCATCATGGCCTCTTGGCCAATTTCATTACCCCGCCTCCTCAAAAAGAACCTTACCCTCAAGGTTCGAATAGAGCAATATTAACCAGGAAAGAGGAACACTCTCATAAAATATTTCTGTCACTTTCCGCTCCATCACTTGCTTCCTCTTGTCTCTCCTTCAAGAAGTGGAACATACCCCTTCAGATGTAAGAAAAAATCAAGATCATTAAATTCTGACCGGGAATCAACAAATAAAAATGCTTTTTTAGCACTTACTGCAATTAAGAACTTCCATCATTCAGCAACTTAGTTGACACTTCTATGCTATAAGGCATGGGAGATATAGGAATTCCATTTGGAAGATAAATTCAGCAGCGCTTTGCTCTCCACTCTGCTTGATTCTTGTGGACTATCACGAGAGAAAAGAAAGCCGGACACAAGCATCCAGTTGACTGAAGTTCAAGCATATGTCAATGTTTTTAGCATCTATCTCACCCATAAGGTAAAGAAACATAAGTCTTCCCAACACTTGACTTCTCTTCTTCCACGAAATGCCAGTCTTAAGTGTAAACCATCAGACATGGAGGAAGATTGTGGCTCCAACTCAAGTAGGATTTCCTTAATACAAAAGTGCACTGACCTTATATTTCCATTCTCAAAAATTAGACTCACAGGCAATCATCAGAGAGAATCATCCACAGCCCACAGGAATGAGCTCATGGGGAACAACCAATTCGTCGAAGGTCCTGAATTCCAGGCTTCCCTCAATATAGGGTCACATGTATCCCTATTGATATTTACTTTTGCTCCAGAAAGGGATTCACACAAAGAATAAAGGTATGAATCAAAGAATTACAACTCATAAAAACAATCGGCTTCCTATTGGATCATCATTTTCTATGCCTTGATGGATCACCGAATTTTTTTCAAGTTTAATAATATGCATATCAAATCCATTTCAAAACTGAAATTCAAGCACAAACCTTAACATTTGTGAAAGACTCCAGAGTTCTGTCTAGGTTGTCAACAGTCAACACCCACAATCTCCAAACTCAAGTCAAGTAGCATCGTGCAAGTCTCGGAACAATGCCCATGATTGCAATACCACAGTTCATTAACAAAATGACCTCCAAAAGCTTGCTTCACAATGTTGTCTGCCTCTTTACGCTTGCTAACAAAACTTGGGAATAACCATTAGGGACTTTACTTTACACATGTCCCACCAAGCTCAACACGAAAATCATCAATGTATGGTTTCAACCACTATTAAGGCTCAATTCAACTCTGGTAAGCCAAATATGAATCCTCTAGCCTTCATCTCATTTATTATAAAGGAAATGTACTCCTCCATCTGATCTCGACATGCAGTACCAGCAACGTCAACTTCTTTTACCAGCTTAGCTGTCAACTCGGCTAGAGTCTGTTTTTTGATAAAGTTTAAATTTGGTAAGATTCCGGATGTGTCTGGTAAGAGATAAATCCCGAAGGCCGTTCCCGTCCCTATCGGGGGAGATGCCAACAATCTCTCCTTTCTATGAACACAACTCGGCTAGAGTCTGTTGATTAACAAACTCCTTTCCAATAAATAAGGGCTAGTAAAGAATACAATGCCAGACATAGCAGTTGCACATATGGAAATCTGTTGTCCTTGAAATTCTTCCCTATCTGAATGAGTGTCAAATGATCTTGATACTGTGCAGACATTCCTGACATGTAAATTCACCTCCTGTTAGGTTCCAATTTAGCAGATGAGGTGCATCCTCCTATAAGTGAACCTTCTTCCGTTCTATCCTAGAATCATTCAAGCAGCCATTCATAGTTGCCCAGTTCCTCTTTGCCTATGTTAAGAACCCAAATGGATTCATGTCCCGAAGCTTCAATTCCCAGAGCAAATTCTCGCATTTGTGATGTAATGAAAATTGCTAAACTTCCAAAACAAATGTAAACAATGAACTTAATTTTTTTTAATCAAGCCAATTTATGCACTTGTGTTTATCAATGGAGGATTTATTTCCTCTTTCAGCTTTAACTTCAATGTCCTTGTTGCACCGCTAAATGGATTGTAGGAAGGAACGAACCCTGTTTTTTCTCTCTTGGGAAATGAGCCAACTTTCAAACAACAACTTTTCTGATTAGTTCTTGGTCCTTTCCGGGGAGTTCCCATCCTCCATGATGGAGGGGAGGACCTTTTTTTTCAGCAGGAGACAAGTCTTTCGAACTAATCGACATCAGTGAAGATCGGGTTAGATGGTTTTTACTCTATGAACGCAGCAGGAGGTTCATCGGCAAGATCAGAATCGATGAAAACAATCTAAGATGGGTATGCGCTGCTTTGAAAGATGCCTCACGGGGAGAGGGGAACTTGTGCAGGAGATGGGGAAGGAAAATTGAGGCTTATATTTACAGAGTATACCAGAATTTCAACAGTTATGGCAGATTTGTTCGTATTGAGGCATGGTTGGGTGACAGGAAATCATCGGTGATTATCCCAGAAATTATCGAAAACGGAGGATGGTGCGACATTGCTGACAAAATCTTGAGATTTCTTTGGAGGCCAGAAAAACCGGCGTCGAACTGGAACTATCAAATTCAGTTAAGATCTTATTTTGAAGCTGCTAGTCATGAGCTCTGGCCTTCAATGGAGACGAATGGTGCAGTAGCAGATCAGAACAAAATCAAAATTAGTGCAAAGGCTGAAGCAAATAGCTCTCATTTTCTTGCTAAATGTCTAGTTGGGAGATTTAATGACCCATTCAACATGTCTCCAAACCATGAAGTTGTTCAAAAATGGTTTACTAACAGATGGAAAGTGACAGCAGGCTTGAAGGTTACGCCAATTGCGCACAATCTCTTCCTCTTTGAGATGCCTTCTCGCCAAGAAGCAGTTAGAGTCAAGGCAGGTGATTGGTACTGGAATGGAAGAAGGTTGTCATTGGAGTGGTGGTCAGCGGTCACAGGATTGGCAATGGCGGAACCAAACTCCGAACGTAGATGGATAAAAGCTTTTGGAATTCCTCTCCATGCTCGGTTGGAAAGCTCTTTCAGAGTTATTGGAGAATTGTGTGGCGGCTTCGTTGACACCGACGAAGACACCAAGAAAAGGACTCACCTGCACTGGGCTACGATTTGTGTCAACAAATCAATTGAAGAAATTCCTAGTAAACTTGAATTGAAAGTGGGAGAACTAAGCTATGAAATTTCTATAATTTCAGATGCTCACACCAAATTATGGGTCGCCGGAGATGGGGTGGATTGCAGCAGCAAGGGTTTCATTGAAGAAGAAGGGGTTAGGGTTTCGAGGTCTGCAGCTGTCAAATCAGTAGATAGGCCACAGGGACAGCACATGCCTTTAGCCTTTAATTCAAAATTGTCATATGCCAATGAGGTGGGGCCCTATATTAGGTTTAATAATCCAGCAAAAGGGGCCAGTATTATTAAGGATGTTGCGCCTAAAACAATTATTATTAAGAAACCAGACAAAGGGGCATGCATTATTAATGAAGTTGGGCCTTCAAACACAAAGAAAACAGATCAGGCTTACTACAACACAGGCCTAAAAAGAATAAATAAGAAGTTACAGATCTGGAAGGCCAGAACCCAAGACCCATGATCTTGATCCCTTTTTTCATAGAACTCCATGCTCTGGAAATTAAGCGTATGATGTCTGATTCAGAAGGGAGTGTTTGCCCAAGCCTCTGTGATGCTGATGATGAAGGAAAATTGCCCCA